GTTTTGTGTCACCAATTATGTAGTGTCACATGGTTATAGAATATACTTTGAAAACTATGATAGTAAAAGAATTGTAACTAGATGTGGCAAGAGGAAGGAGGAGATTAAATTCCCTTTCATAATTTATGCTGCATGGATGTACAAGGGAAGATCTTTTTAGATCAAAGCCATGAATGCTAACCATAAATGTTCTAGGCAGTTTATTTTTGGATCCATTGTTTCTCTTAAATGGACTGGAAGACATTATGTGACTAAAATTGCTAATAAGAAAAAGATGAAACTTCAGGAAATGATTGATGACATTAGGCAAAGGTATACATATGTGGTATCTATTGGACAAGTTGGAAGGAAAAGGAAATGGGACAAAAATATAATAGAAGGTAAACTCACTAAGCATTAGGTAAGGATATGAGATTATGCCAATGAATTGTTAAGGTCAAACCCATGGTCCACATATCAAGTTGGTGTAACAACCAATCCAGATGGAAATAATTATTTTCATAGGTTTTACATTTGTTTCAAAGAATTAAGTGTTAGCTCGAAAAGAGGGTGTAGGAGAGTAACTGGGATTGATGGGTGCTTCCTAAATGGGCATGTGAAGGGTGAACTGCAAACAGCCATTGGTAGAGATGCCAACAGCCAGGTCTATCCAATTGCTTTGGTTGTTTTTTATATGGAAAATAAGTCCAACTGGACTTGGTTCCTTTAGCTACTTAGTGGTGATCTAGACCTTATTGATGGCAAGGGCTTGGTAGTTATATCAGATCAAAAGAAAGTAAGTTTCTTTATAGCATATTAATCCTTTTCAAATTACTTATAAATACATAAATGTGTGATGGTTTTTGTATAGGGTTTATTACAATCTATTAAAGATATATCGATACATATGGAGCACAGGCAATCTGCCCGACACATATATGTAAAATTTTGAAAAGCTTACACTGGGTTGGAGTTCAAGAAGTTGTTTTGGGCTGAAAATGTGAGTTGTGTTGAAGGTGATTTCAAGAGAAACATGGACACAATTAAAAAGATCAATCTTGGTGCATATGAGCATCAGATGTTTAAAGAACCCTAAACATGGTGTAGAGCTTACATGAGTATAGGGTATACATGTGAGGAATTGGAGAATGGTATATCAGAGTGATCCAGCTCCATAATTTGTGGATACTATGGAAAAACATTTATCATAATGCTTGAAGAAATAAGGATATACATCATGGATAGGTTTGGTCACATGATTAAGGAAAGCACTAAATGGAATACTCGTATCTGTCTAGCGGTGTTAAAGAAGATGAAGCTTTTTGGGAAGAAGATGAGGTAACACTCTAACATTCAACTTTTCTTTTAATTTAATTAAGTAACACTTTAACATTTGACCACTAAACTTGTAGATGTAGGTTTTGGTTAATAATTCATAGTCAACAACATCTTATTGAAGCAAGGATAGGATGTGATAGCTACATGGTGAATTTGGATGGAAGGCATTGTCCTTGTAGGTTATGGGATCTTGCTGGGATCCCATGTATTCATCCCATTGCAACCAAAACTATATCCATCAAACACCTAATAAGTATATTGATGACATTTTTTCCAAGGAACAATTTCTTAAGTATTACTTTGCTAACATTAGTCCAATGAATGGTTCAAACGTATGGCCTCAAACTGAATTCATAAAGCCCTTGCCACCAGTGTCAAGGTAAATGTCTGGTATAGAAAAGGTTAATAGAAGGAGACATGTAAGTGAATATTATGGAAGAGTAAACACCACAAGAACTATAAGGTGTGGTAAGGGCTTTAAGTATGGTCATAACCATAAGGGATGCAAGAATGCAACCAGTGAACATGTCCCTATGCCACCAAAGCAGAAAGGAAGGCCAAGGAAGGAACAATGTGAACCTAGACAACCATCACATGATAGGTCTAAGAGGCAGGAACCAGTGCCTATGCCACCAAAGAAGAAAGGAATGCCAAGGAAAAAGGTCACATTTGACCCATATAAAGCATCAGGTTCTAAATTGGTTATAAGCAAAAAAAAATAAAAAAACTTAGGTATAAAAAGAGGTGGTGGTATTGAAAAAGATAGAGTTCTAGTTGATAAAATGATGATATATATGGTCATGTTTAAGGTAGGGGCTTTGATTAAAAAATGAAAGATTTGTTTGACAAAGAAGATATTGATGATGATAGTGTGGTTGATATGATGTGCACTTTTGAAGCTGCTATTAGCCAACCAAAGGATAAATATGAGAAAGGTGATGGAATCCAAGATGAAATGGATACTATTCTTCAAAGTATTTTTCATGCTAATGATGACAAAGGTGTTGAGGATGGTGAACCTAACCTGACAAAAACACTTGATGAGGTTGGAGATGGAATGGATGCTATTCTTAAACATACTTATAAAAAAAGTCAATCTGATAATGAGGGTAATCCTAAACCTGCATTCACTGAAGGAAATGCAAGTGATGTTCTCCCAGAGATGGTGAAGCTGGAACTAGAATGTGTAACAGACCTACTTGAGGCAAGATATAACATGGCTGAAATAGAGAGCATAATAGTGGTACAAGTTAAATTGGATGATATGCCACTAGTTGAAATGGTTAGTTTGAATTCATTATTTTCTAAATGCTAACGTTAGTATAAAACTATTTGTATCATTTATTAAAGTGTATTTTTAAAATTTTGATCAACAAGATGTAAATGAAGTTGAGGGTATTCCCTATGTTGATGGTGTGATGGAAGGAAATGTGGGTGATGGCCATATAAATGATGGTATGGAGGAAAATAAGGATGATAGTGAAGGTGATTATATTAGTGAAGTAGCAGGTAAATGGTGATGGTGATGGAGAGGCTGATGGTGATGGTGCTAGTGAGGATGATGGATAGGGTGATGGTGATGTTGAGGAGGAAGGTAAGGGTGATGATGAGGATGATGCACCAGATATGGAGGGAAATGATGTTGATGATGAAGGGTATGTACCACTCAGAAGGACAAGAAATCCCTCAAAAAGGATCATCACACAAAAGCTGAAGAAATCTTGTTTTGACAAAGATGGAAGGGGTTCCACATCTAGCTATCCAGTATATTTGAGGTATATGGGGTTAATTGTGAGGATGTTATCATTGGAAAATTGTATATGTAGCCTATTTTTGTTTTTTTTGTATACACCCACTACTAGCAACATACATCCAATTGTTTAGTGTTACATTATGGCTTGCCTTTTTGGATATTTTTAGGCTTTTGGGTACATGTTTTGGAATACAAAATGGATGGTTGCTACATGCTAGTAAAACTTACGTAATACATTATTTTTATTAAGGTTTATAATGGATTCCCCATGTTATGGTAACCATGATGTTTTTATTTTATTTTCCAGTAGTTGTTAAGCATTAACAATGTACTATCTCTAGTGCAATTCCTTTTATGCAAGTTATCCTTACATACAATTCATGCAAACTCGACTTTCATTGTAAATGTAACCAAGTGTAGTTTGGTGCAATTCCTTTTATGAAATGTACTTTCATTTTACTTTCATTCATGGAAAACCTACTTACATTCCATTAGTGCAATTCCTTTTATGCAATGTACTTTAATTATAAATGTAAACAAGTAAATAAAGAAAACAAGTGCAACATATGCATGAAGTAGCAATTAACTACCATTCAAACCAAGTGTATTTTAGTGCAATTCCTTTTATAGAGTGTACTTTCATTATACTTCCATTCATGCAAAGTCTACTTACATTCCATTTGTGCAATTCCTTTTACGCAATGTACTTTTCATTGTGAATCTAAACAAGTAAATGAAGAAAACTATTGGATTAGTGTCTAAGTCCATAACTACATTTGGTATGTACTTGACCCGATTGACATGGTCCATTTGGGTTGCATGGCATCTAAACAATTTGGATAGACTTTTGTGAGAAAAGGATATTTATGATTTGTTAATATATTATAAGTTCTAATATATTAATATGAAATCATATTATTTAATTAGTATTGATAAAGAATTAATTTGGAATTAACTTTTTGATAAAAAAGAGACTCATTAAATATATGGGGACTGATTGTGTAAATCATTCATTCTTATATATGTGTGCTTATGATCCATAGTTCTTCATGTTAGGCTAAACCCATGGAGTAACCCATGGATACTCCATGGAGGTTTTGACCCATGGAGCATGAAGAATATGGAAAGACATGAGTTACATGGTGTAACCCTTATAGCCACAATATATAAGGACCCCATCGCTCAAGAAATTGGCACTAGTGTGTGTACACATGAGGGCTAACCGATTTGTGTAACAACCGTCAATTCCTAGTCAAGTCAAATTCAACAGGTCAAATCGGTCGACTCATCAATTGCTTATATGTTAGGGATTAATATATGTTCAATAATGTACAACTCTATATATTCATGCAAAGTATCACTTGGAAGTTTCAAATGTTCATACATTTTAAACCCTAATTAGGTTAAGTGATGTAACAACTCTATAAAACACTATTTCGTGCCCTTCCGGGGTGCATAACACTCAAAATATGGTGAAACGAAGCCTACAGTTCTTTCACTACGAAGAAAAACACTAACAAAGGCCCCCGACAAAGTCTCTCTAAATCTCTCCCACTCTATCTCTCTCTCTCCCAAATCTCTCCCAAATATCTCTCTGTATCTCAAATCTCTCCCAAATCTCTCTCATATCTCTCTCAAACTTTTATAAACATCCGTACCAACCTACTCCAGTAAACCAATAATCTAAAAGTGATTTAATCGTTACCTGAAGCTTAAAATTCTTAATAGCAAATGGAATGCATATTTGAAATAGAAGCATGTTGGCTGGGATCTTAGTAAACAAGTCAGACTCTTTGCAATACCAAAAATAAAAAATAAAAAATAAAAAAATTATGTAAGCAAAATAAACATATCAAATAATACAAAAAATTAATATTATTCTTACGTGATATCAAGAGGAAAGAAATCAGGGGTCATTCGCATGGCAATTTTAACTTGTAAAAATACAAGCCTTACTATTAAGCTTCCATAAACCACAACTGACAAAAGAACCCTACATGCACATAATGGAATATGACAATTAGAACTAGGGGCGGAATTGAAACCGTGGATTACTATTAAGCTTCCATAAACCGCAACTGACTAAAAGATCCTTAATATAAAAAATAATTATAAAATTAGTTTCTTACCAAAGTACCAGATCTTACAATATTTAGATCTTGTGAATCTGTGGTAAATAAGGAAGATAGTTGTCCAAACCCTAAGAACAGCACAAAAGCCAAGCTACCTCCAGATATTAATCCAATCTAAACGAAAACCAAAAATTTGGATTATTTTATTAGCAATATAAATTTGGTAAGTTAAATTAAAAAGGAAAAAAAAATTATAATAATATATACATATCCTTAACCTTAAGAACTCTGTCTATTACTCTGCATGCTTCACCATAATTCTTTTGTGAATAACTACTTGCAAGAATTGCCTACAAAACAACACAATCATACAACTACAGGAAAAAATAGAACAACAACATTAACCTTGTACTAGTTTAATTTTTAAGGTTACCTGTCCTGCAAGTGCTAAAGCATCGGTAAGCAAAGAAAGAGCCAACCAAACTTCTAAACATATCTGATAAGCAGCCATGGGAATAGAAGCTTTTCTTGCAGCTATTGATGTAGATAAAGTCATAGTTACAAGAACAGCAAAACTCCTCCACATTAAAAGCAACCTTAGTTGAAAATGGAGGTTGATCTCACTTGTACAACATCATATTCCACCTTATTTAAATATGATTATATTCCATTCACAAGATTCCGTTCTAGCCATTCCACCCTATTCCTTTCCAGCCATTCCACCCATGTTCACATGATTACATTCAAACCATATTCAGCAACCAATTACAAAACCTATTATATAATTCCATTCCAACCAAACCTTATCATCCAGGAGGATATGTTAAATAGGACAACATTAAAAGGGAGATATATTAAAATGAACATGTGTCCTTCTTGAGTATAAATTTCCTCTTTCTTTTTTACATTAAGTCAAAATAAAACTTATCGGGACTAAACCAAACAGGCTATAAAAAAACAAGTAACCCAATTCTCATGGCTTATTAGTTTGAAGAGTAAAACAAATGTTAAAGCAAAGGTAAAACAAATTGTCCCAAGCAATTACAAAATGGTGGGAGGAGTTTAAACTTAAATCCTACATATTAGATCTATTAAATGATATATAATAAACCAAAAAAATTTGAAAGAAAATCACCAATCCTCCATCTTCTGCAGTTGATGCAAGATGAATATGGAAAGTTGTTTCTTGTTGATTTTTCAGATACCTTTGCTTTGCTTTGTTATTGCTATTCAACAAAAGGTTTATATAGGTCAACAAGTTGGATATGCATCATTGTAAAATACTCTCGGGTTCAACAATATTCAACAAAATAGAAACTAATACAACTCTGTAAGAGCAATTTATGATAGTATGCAGAAACAACTTAATATGGGTTCTAATCCTAATGTAGGGTGTGGTATTACTTGAAGTTAATGAACCTATACTATGTTTTAATATTTTATTTTTTACAGTTAACGGTTTTAAAATGTTTAATAAGTATAACTTAAGTACTGCTGGGCTCTTGGGATAGTTGAGAAAGCTTATTACCTCTTCAAGATGTTGAGGCATCTCCAAGCATGCAAACTTTCAATTTAGGCCTAGGAATGTGAGGCAATTTCACTATTCCACTGAAACAGTTGTCCTTTTTTGGGTCGTAGTTCTTGAGTTCAATTTGGAGTTCAATGGTTTCAGTGAAATTATGCTTCTTCTCTTTTGTACCTGTGGTGATTTGAGTAATGGCTTCCCTTAGGGCTTCACTTTGAAGCTTACTGTTAAATCACATATTGAGATATTAGTTGTTGATGAATCAGATAGTTGAGCCTAACACAATCTGCATGTATTTAAAAATCATAAAGAACTAAGAACAACAATTTTATAAGATGACGTTGATAGAATCATGAGATTTGAATACCTGAGTAAAATGGCCGATGATGCTGATAGAATCATGAGATTTGAGTAATGGCTTCCCTTAGGGCTCCACATATTTTACAAATTAGATTTTGCCTCCCAGACCATATAATCGTGAGATTTGAATACCTGAGTAATGGGACCTTTTATTTGCCCCCTCCTCCCCCCCCCCCCCCCCCCCCCCTCCCCGACCCACTTGCGATTAGCTTCCCTACTTGTAGAATTAGTGGGAACATCTTTCGGTCCAATGAAGTTAGTAAATCTAAAACAAAAAAAATTGAGATTGTAGCTCACGAAACTTGAGAAAAGATTATGATGTGAATATAAAAAAAATTACCCCCACAACCAACACTTTGAGAATAAACAATATTGAACCAAAATACTTACAAATCAATTGCGATTCACCTGGAACCTCTTGTTTTAACACCTAAGTTCTCTGAATAATTCTTTAAATTCGAGGTTTTAGAGTTGGTCGACGTCATTGATGAGGATACCTCGCAGATCAATTACGATTCACCTTCGATTTAACTTCTTGTTCTCCTCTTGATGATTTCAGACTCCGTCTCCAAGCTTTACATGATATTTTTCAGAAAGGAGTCTTTGTGGAGCATTGGGGTTTTTCTTTATTTCATAACCCTCACATATACTGGGTTGAGAGAAAACGATAGAAGCTGAAGCTTGGAAGAAAATAAAACCCTAGCACATGCTAGAGAGAAGGGAAGTGGTGATGGCTTAGGGTTTACAGAGAGACTGGAGGTAGAGAATGAAGTGAGATCTAAAGGAGAGAGTATCAGAGAGGGGAGAGCGGATTGCAAAGATGAAAGATAGATAGAAGGTAGAAAAAGCGAGGCGGGTTTTCAAAATTTTGGGGATTTCGTTTTCCCCCTTGTCAACTAAAAGCGCGTTTCATTAAAATTATAAAGACGACGCGCGTTTAAAATAAAGCGCCCTCCGTGTTTTTAATTTTTTTTTTCTTCAGACACTAAATTAAGGGCACGCAATAATGTGTGACGTAAATCCTTAAAATTTTTGGAGAGATGACGCTATTTTAAGGGCACGCCCTTTTGCGTATTATTAATCAGTGCGTGTCGTAAAAAGCGCGTCACTAAAGGTCTGTTTTCTAGTAGTGAGAAAACCCAAAAGAACCCTCTTGGTCAGGAACCCTCTTAGTCCGGAGACCTTCTGATTCAGAATCTTCTTAGCTGGACAATTTCGCATTCTCCGGACCTTGTACACTTCGAAATTTCCTTCACACCGGAAGGGTTCACTCCAGAATCATCGCTTCGGACCATCTCACACACGCTAGGAAGACTCCGCCCCGGAAAGTCTCGCACCTCACAAGACTCGGATCCGCTCCGGAAGCTGCTAACCCACTTCGGAACTTAGAGTATCACTTCGGAATCTATGGTTTGGCTCCGGATTTTACCATTTGACTACGGGTTTTCAAACATTTCGGACTTTTTAGTAATTTTAAGTGATTTTGACTCCAGAAATTCCCTCAGACATGTAGTTTTCCTAAGTAAAACCCACAAAACTCCTATTTTATGCCAAAATTGAAGCATTAAAGCACATTTTCATGAAATAATATCTAAGGATATATTATTTTATTCACCCACTTGGCCACTTGTATGGACTTGATTGGTTGAAAACTTACCTTCCCAAGGTGATATCACACTTACCCAAGCAAATGTCACTTCACCATCAATTCTCACCACCTTTTTCTTATCCCACATGCATATATACGGGCTAAAGGCCCTCCGAAACCCATTCACAGTAAACATTTTCTCATACTTTCTCCTAAAGGCACTTTCCCTCCTTTTTCCTTTTTCTCTTCAAGATCTTCATCTAATATTCCCAGGAGATTCCATATTTCTTTCAACCAAGACTCTTAACGATTTTTGGCAAGTATTTATATATAATCTAAGTGTTTATGCACATATTTTTGTAAGGGTTCATTTTATTCACACATTATTGTGTGTTTAACATAATAGGATACGATTAGCTTCACGTACTTCTAAACTCAAAGATCATCATTTTTATCTCGTGAATCTAACCGCAACTACACATAAGGTGAGTTCATACCCCTATATTTTCACGTCTTTACTATATTTTAGGGGGAAAATACAAGTGAAACGCAAGAAAAACTTATGTTAAAATACGAATCTTTTCATATAGTTTCTAATGCTTCGTCAACGTTTTTGTATAAATGTTGAATATGTATAATTACGTTACTACTAATGCTATACTTTACATGCAAAGTGGGTAATACACCATGCTTTTCATTCAAACGGGACACACTTTTAAAACTATAATAGGTATAGTTTACAAGATATTCGTGATATTTTACATACTATAAACACTATAAAGAGGAAATACTTACATTTACAAGAAAGAAGGATGTTTCATACGTAAATCTATTGATACTAAATTTTGTGAGACAATTTGACTTCTCTGTACTTTTAAGTATGCATTTTAAAGTCTTATATTATAAACCATAATCTCTTGTAGGGAGAGCGTGATATTTGTGTATAGATCTATACGGGACTCACAATCCTACACCTAAACTGTTAGCTACAATTAGACCGGAAGGTCTGGGGTGACAAACGTCATATCATTTCAACGCCTGAAGAACGTTGTTACAGGGAGTCTGGGTCAATAGCACGGTTATAAAACCTCACATGGAGTATTAATAATATATTTTGGTTCACAGGGCTATCAAACGCCTTAGTGATTATATATACTTATATAAATCTACATACATTATTTTAGGTATGAAAAATACTTATGCATTCTGATTTTGGAACTTTTAAAACCACCACATATTTATAGAAAATATTGGATTTTCTAGAAACAAACTCGGTTACTTTATATAGACAGACATACAATTCTTATACAAAAACGCTTATGAACTCACCAACTTAATTGTTTACACTTTTTCAAAACTAATTGTATTTCTCAGGGATTTGGTAATACAGGTAAACACCAGCTTTTGGGGAAAGGACGCTAAGGTGTCAGTTCAAAACTCATTTTGTCATCATATTGTAATTTTTTTTGAAACATGTATCACATTGTAACAACCCGAAGTTGTCCATCACCGAAACACAATTCGTCCGTGAAACCTGTCTATAGCGGTTCGTTTCGATCTCGTTTTTGGGCTAAGTTATTTAAACTTATATGTTTATTATAATCTCATGAGAGTTCAAATCCCTTAAAAACTCATGAAAATCGCCCAAAATCACTAAATTGAAAATTTCTAAATTCTATCCCGCCGGATTACGATAGCTTAATCGGGTGCGACCAAAAGCCACGTTTAATGCCGGTATCGGGTAGAATTTCACTGTGTCCAAGTTTTGGGATCTTTTTAAACGTGTTCAAGTTATCATTTGAATCTTTTTCTTCTTCTCTCTACTCTCTCTAACCTCTCTCCTCAACCAAGTTTAAGGGTCCAAAACCAAAAAATTTAAGGCTTCTAATCACCAAGGTACCTTCCTTAACTCCTTGTATAACATATTTGACCTTCAAATTCGAGATTAAAGCATGAATTAGGACCTTTTTTATGTGTTTACGGCCCTGGAACATGCTTTGGCCGTAAACACATATAAAGGGGGTTTTTAAGCCCTTAAACCCTTCCAAAACACCAATAAGGCTTAGATACGACTTGTAGAATTATGGATTTGGCCTTGGAACACCTTGAACAT